CTATCAGGGGCAGCTAGATGATGCAGTGGATAGAGCACCGACCCTGGATTCAGGAAGACCTGAGTTCAAATCCGGCTTCAGACACTTGACACTTACTAGCTATGTGACTCTGGGCAAGTTACTTAACCCCATTGCCTCGCAAGGAAAAAAAAAAAAAAAAAAAGGAGACTACGGCAGTAAGGTGCCCTGGGAGGGGCTCCTGATGGGGCTCAAACAGAGCCTGGCCATGGCCCCTTGCTGGAGGCCAAAGGGGCAGAGCACAGGCTCTGCAGTCAGAGGGCCTGGTTCAAATCCTACATCTCGTGCTTACTGCCTTGTGTGACCTCAGGCGAATAATTTTACCCCCCTGGGCCTCAGTTTCCTCCTCTGTAAAATGAAGGGGTCAGACCAGATGGCCTGAGGACCTAGGATCCTACGTTCCCAGAGGTCTGGATAGCCTCTGATGCACCTGGAGGACTGAGCTCAATACACTGGCTGCAAGGTCTAGACATGCGGCCAGAGCTCCTGGGAATGCCGGAGAGAAATGATGCTGAAGACCAGAGGCCTTCCGGGACAATGGAGCGACTGCCTGTGTCATTCTAAAACGTCCTCAACTCACCTCTATTCACACAATAGGCCACGGAAGGCCAAACCTGCCAGGGACTGGAAATCCTCCGTCACCCAGAGGTGTTCCCATGCACTGGCCCCGGCACCACAGCGCTGCCCATCCTGGCTCAGGGGGAGGGTTGGAGGAGGGCAGGAATCATCCTGGAGACAGTGCAGACATCCTGGGCGGGTGAGAAGCCCACAGAATGTCACTCTCCTCCTACTCCAGGGTCTGCAGTAGCCGATTCCTGCATTTCTGCTTTTTTCGGCCCCAGCACAAGTTGACAAAGCAGTTTTTCCTGGCTCAGCAGAAGTCTCAGGCAGCTCAAGAACATTGCCCAACACCCCTGACCTCATCCGTAGGGCCCTGACCTCAATTCCCCTTTCAGGACCAACTCAGAAAGGCACAAAGTCTGATCTGCAAGGAACATCTCCACTACAAACTTTGCCTCTGGTCATTAGCAGGCTTGTCAACACTATGGGCATAAATTCCCAGAAAAGCTAGAGGGAGCCATTGACTTGCCAGAGCTGGGTCAGAAAAAGTAACCACTGGCTTACCCATGTCACTACACCCCCTATTCTCCCTCGCCCCATGTGTCTTTCCAAACACAGAAGGGGAAAGACTCCTAGAAATGGAATCTCCCGATGGGGGCTCATTAGTATCACTTCCTCTGGGCCACCCAGAGGGAACAGTAGCTTAGACTTGCTACACACAGGCATGGGGATAGTATTATCACTGCCACTGTCCCAGCCCTCTTTCCTCACCCACTGCTTCCCTGCGAGCACAACTGAGGAGTCAGTATTACTCTTGACTTTTACCTCTGAGAGAAAGGGCAGACCAGACATTAGGGTGCCGTGAGGACCCAAGCTTCCGTGATCCTCCCTTGATAATCCTTTCATTCCCACAGACCCTCTAGCCATCTTAAGATGATTCCCAGCTCTGGAGCTGGAAGAGCCCTCAGAGGTCACCTCTTTCAACCCCCTACATTTACAGAAGAGGAAACTGAGTCCCAGTGAAGTTAACTCACTCGTCCAAGCTCTCACAGAAGCAAGATGTAAACCCACGTCCTGTGGCCCCAGGCTTGCCCCATTGTGCCACTCCTCTACTTCCTTGGTGCTAAGAGAAACTGCGACTGGTGACCAAGATGTCTTCATGTTTCTGAGAAAGCCTCCTTCTGCTTTAGTGCTAAACATTTTCAGATGTGAGCCCCTCAGAGGCAGAGCCCACTTCTTCTCTTTACAGCAGAAAGGCAATAATGACACATCCCAACTCATATCACAAAAGAATGGGAATCAGGAAGGCTTCACTTATCATGAGGCAGGGGGCTGGATCCCATCACCTCCTGAGGTCCCTTCAGGCTCTAGAATCCAGCACTCTGACTGCTAGGCCCAGCTCCAGCCAAGCCTGAGCCTAAGACCAGGGCCCAGCAAGCCCCTTTCTGTAGGTTTAGGAAGGAATCCTGGGGCAGCTAGGTGGCACAGTGGATAGAGCACAGGCTCTGGAGTCAGGAGGAACTGCACTCAAATCCAGTCTCAGACACATAACCCTAACTAGCTGTGTGACTCTGGACAAGTCACTTAACCCCAATAGCCACACACAAACACACACACACACACACACACACACACACACACACACACACACAGAGTAGGGAAGGAAATCGGAAGAAGTAAACAGAAGGAGTAGTTAGGAAGCTGGTGGGGGGAGGGGGAGGTATGGGAGTACCTGGAGCTGCACAGCCAGGGGAAGCTTAGAGCTCCTAATTCTACTGACATGCAGTCAAAGATGGGGATTCTCCTAGTTTTGGCCCCAGATTCTGGCTTCAAGCCTACAAGGGAACTGTTAATGAGATGCTAATACCCCTCTAAGTATTTAATGAGAGCACACACATGCCTCTAGTCTTTAAAGGGCCCAACGGGTTCCCTTTATTCTCCGAGGGGGGCCATGACCTGGGGCAGTTAAGCAATGGTTCCCCATCAGTGGGGGCCCAGAAGCCTGTGGGAAGCCTGGGAAGATGAAGGGGGCAGGTGGGGAGGCCCAAGGAGGGATGAGGCACGGGCAGGTCCAAGTGACAGGGCTCACTTTTACCCTAGGCTCTGTTATCGCCTGGAGGTGCTAGGAGGTGGATGAACACGTGTGTGTGTGTGTGTGTGTGTGTGTGCGCGCGCGCATGTGCGCGCACACAGCTTTGAGCTGGCTCACAGACAGGGTTCTTGCCCTTTTACCAAAGCAGGTGAACTAAGCCAGGGTGGTGAGGACCAAAAGGTGCTCCCATTTGAATAGGTTTAAGGGGCAGGGGTGGGGAACCTGCGGTCTTGAGGCGACACATGGCCCTCTAGGGCCTCAAGTGCGCTCCTTTGACTGAGTCCTAGTTTTACAGAACAAGTCCTTTTACTAAGGGGATGTGTTCTACACGTGGGCCTCAAGGCCACAGGTTCCCCACCCCTGGTTTAAGCCAACTCATTTCCTCCTTCCTCCTGGCCCCGTTCCCTCAACTGTTTCCTAGGCTCCCGCTGGCTTTTGACCCCCTGCACAGGCAGGAGTACAGCTGTCCGACTGCCCCAGGACTTACCCTTTCCAGAAGAATAAAGCCCTATCCCAAAAGAACTCTGTAAGGACAAAATGCACCTCCTTCCCCTTCTTTGCAGAGGTGGGGGCCTATGGATGTGAAACAGTGCATACACATACTTAGCTGATGTATTTGTTTTGCTCAACTGTCCCCTCCCCCTTTTTTTCTTTTGTTCTTTTGTTCTTTGTAAGTAAGGGAGAAGAGAAGGGTATGTTCAGAAGGAAAGGTGATATAAAAATTCAAGGTGTTGATAGATACTTTAAAAACAAAGAGAACTGAAGGTTCTCTGTCTAAATAATCTCATTATTCTCATCACTTTCTGGATCATAGAGTTGCCTAAACTGTAGAACGAGAAAAGTCTTCTCTGCCCGCCCTATTGTATGGACCTGCTTCCCTTTTCCTCTTTCTTCATATATTTTCTCTTGGGCTTCATTTTTCAAACCTGCCTCTTCCAGGTATAGAAGCCCACTTTCACCACAACCTGGTGTTCCTGTGAAGGATGAAAGACAGGCTCAGCATCCGGAAAGCTGCTCTCCGCCCGCTGCCCCAGGGTAGGTGGTGCCAACTTGAAAACAGAACAGGTCCTCTCTTACCTAAGTTTTCCCTCTCAGTTTCATAACAAGGGGCAAGGCAAGGGTAGGGTGTGGGGAGGTTCCAGCCAAGGTCTTTTTTTAGGCTCTGCTGCTAGTCAGGTCTCCTGAATATCATGGTGATAGTTGTCAGAGACAGATCAGAAGATTTTCTATCCTGATGCTATGCGCCTAAAAGGCTGAAGACCATCTCTAACAACCCCTGAGCCAAGGACAAGCCAACCCCCTGGGTCTGAGTGGAAGGAACTTGGCTTCAAGCTGGCAGAGACTTCAGAGGGCACCTAACCCAACCCCCTCATGTTACCAAAGAGGAAAATGAAGCCCAGAGAAGGGGAGTGACTTGTCCACCGTCACACAGTCAGCAAGTGGCAGAACCAGGATTCGAATCCAGGTCCTTTGGCTCCAAACCCAGCATTCTTTGCACTCTACCTCCCTTCATTCAGAGGACCACAGACACCATCCTCTCATCAGATACAAACTCCTCCCCTGGATTTGCCACTGGGACTGAGCAGGAGAGATGCCCCCATGCCACTTCCTGCTGGTTTGCTTTACAAGTTATAGACAGATGTAGGGCTGGAAATCCAACCCCCATTTTACAGATGAGGAAACTGAGGCCCCCAGAAGTGGAGTGATTTGCCAAGGGCCCCACAGTTAGTAAGTGTCTAAGGTAGGCCTCAAACACAGATCTTTCCAATTGTTCGTCCAGAGACAGTCCAGGGTCTAACTGTGACACAACCTCATGAGATCCTGTCAGCAAGGTCATCGAGAGCGCTGAGCAGGGGAAAACATTTTCAAAAAGCACAGAGACACGGACACCAAGGGCGTACCCAACAACTGGAAACAAAGCAGGTGCCTATCGATGGATGAATGGTTAAGCAAATTGTTGTAGAGAAACATGATGGGATATTACTAAGCTATAAAGGCAAACTGTGACGAGGATGAGCGTAGAGAAGCTTTGGAAGACTTCTGGGAGCTGATGCAGAGTGAAGCAAGAAGAACCAGGAAACAATGCACACGATGATGGCAACAATGTAAACACAAATGCAAGCTGGGCAACCATAATGACCCAGCTCCCTACTTTCTTGGCAGACGTGGGTGGGCTGCAGGACAGTGGCAGACCCAGCCAATGTCCTGCTGAAATGTTTCTCCCTCTCTTGCTCTTCATTTTTCTGTTAGAAGGGAAGGCTCATCGTAGAGAAGACCCAGTAGGAATATGGCAGAAATGAAGGCGATACACAGACAAAAGCAATCTTACCGTCAGTGACGTGAAGGTCATGCACATCCCACCGAAGCCGTTCAGAGCCAGGGAGATGAAGATGAGCACAGAGAGGGCTGTTGGGGAAAGTGAGAACATTTATGAAAGGGGAGGAAGCCCAGACTGCCCTCCTTTCTCCATTCCTTCTTGGACACCCAAGCAGTCAGTCTCATTGAGAGAAAGCTGGGAAAGGGGAACACAGAGTACCTCTCCCCAGAACACGGCCTCCTGTCTCTTTCTCCCCTTAGCAACGTCTCAGAAGTGAAAACTGCGTCCACTTAACAGAAACATACGTGCCCCCAAGCTTTAAGCCAAGATCTAAAGAAGTTCAGAATCTGCCCTGCCTCCTTTGGACCTTTAGTATCCCTTGTATCCTTCAAGCCTCATGTGGTAAGAACACAAGGGCTCTCCCAGCCCTCACGCTACCCTGTATCAAGTTTGTAGGCATTTATACTGCTTGGTGGTTGTGCTTCACTCAGGAAGAGGACCAAAATGACATCACCATGTTAAAGTCAAGTTACAGGGCGTTCGACTGTGGTTGATGAGACTACTAAGAGCTTGGAAGGCTCTACCATAGGTCAGGCACACACAGTCCATGTGAACACTTGGGGTAGATTCTCTAAATTTGTGCATCTCCTGTTTTTCTGGCTTTTTTTTTTTTTTGCTTTTTACCAAGCAATCAGGGTTAAGTGACTTGCCCAGGGTCACACAGCCAATAAGTGTCAAGTGTCTGAGGCTGGATTTGAACTCAGGACCTCCTGACTCCAAGGCCGGAGCTCTATCCACCGTGCCACCTAACTGCCCCACATCTCATGTTTCTTTCAAGTGATTTCAATTCTGCTTTGCTCACAGAACACAGCACCTTCTCTGACGAGGGCACACCATGCTGAGTGGTCCCATGCCAGTGTCTCCCATGTCACATAATCCATCCCAAAGTTCTTAAGAGAGACCTTGAGAGTGTCCTTGTATCACTTCTTCTGACTACCATGTGAACGCTTGCCTTGTGTGAGTTCTGCATAAAACAGTCTCTTAGGCAAGCGTACGTTTGGCATTCGAACAACATAGCCAGCCCATCAGAGCTGGGCTCTCTGCAGTAGAGAAGTATCTATATACATACAGGTGGTATGTGGTCTCCCCTGGTTAGAATGGAAGCACCTTGAGGGCAGGCACTGGCTTTACATCCTGACACTTAGGACAGTGCCACATACTTAATAAATGCCTGTTGATTGAATCTCTCCCCATGTAGAACATATGCTCCTTGATGGCAGAGGTTGTTTCATTATGTCCTTGTTTCCTCAGCACAGTGCTTGGCACAAGGGAGATGCTTAGGATTTTAAAAGGCATCAGCTCCCCCAAGGAGGAGCTGGAGAGGAGGGAAGATCCGTGACCTCAGGGTGCCTCTGGTTTCCTGCTGGATGACGGACCTGGAGAGCTACAACAAATCTTCCTGCTGCAGGTGGGCGAGTACCATTTTGCACTCAGCATACCGGGGCTGGCCAGGGCCAGGCTGCTTCAGCAATCCACTAAGGCTAAGTTCCACACATCCTGCTACCTTCCCTGGGGTTTTCCTGGATTGGTGGCCTGTTCTCCTGTCCAGCTGGTGATGTAACAGAATCAATCAATGGGGGAAATTCCTACTATCTCTGCCCTTTGATCCCCAAGCTCCTTCTGGGCCTCAGCACCCCTCTTTGCACCAGGGAACACACCCAAGTTCTCCCTCTTGCCCTGAATACTCACAGTTTGGGTTACTGGCTCCATAGGCGATCAACAAGCAAGAAACAGAAAAACAGGCACTGAAAGCAAAGGGGAAGAACCATCAGCTGTTGTCCCCGAGACCCTTCCAGGCCGAGGGCGAGGGGGCACTGAATGGAGGCAATGGGACATCATAACTTGGGCTTCCTACCATCAGCCACTAAATGTTATACCAGAATCAGAGGCACCAGAGACAGAGGCCCCTCAACGGCTTGGAAAACTGAAACCACATCACTCCCTCTAATCTCGAGGCGATGTGATGGCAGAACAGAAAGGCTGCCCATGGCCAACCTGGAGGAGAAGGCAGCCTGAAGTCTGCTTCTGACTTCTACCAGGGGGGTGACGCTGGGCAAGTCCACTGCTCTGTCTGGCCCTCTGTTTTCTCATCTGTAAAATGTAGTTTCTCACACCTCACAGGATTGTTGCGAGGGAGGAACTTTATGAACTCTAAAGCCTCCTAGACACAGCATGTCTCAAAAATCTTGGTGCACTTTTAAGCTTTTGACTTTGGGGACACCCTGTATAAATCTGAGTTATTGTAATCATCAATCACCTAATACACGTAAAAAGTGTATGCAAACCTTCAAGCATTAAAATTTTTTAATTTTCCTTTTTTTAATCATAAACTTAACCATCAGCAAACATGAAACTCTTGATATACAGAGCACAAAAAAGAGGGTTTTAGGGTTTTTTAAACTAATGAGTTACATTTTAACACCATGCTAATAGCATTATTCACATTTCAGTGATCAATCGAGAGAAGCTCCACAAGGGCTCAACCCAGTACCTGGTGATCAAGTGACTGAGAGAGCCCACGGGGCAGGGCACAGCTTCTCCCCACGCAGGGGTCACTTCCTCTAAGTAATGGGATCTACCCAGGGCCTCCCAGGGCTCACCCTGGGTTTTCCCAGCAAGTCTCACAAAGCTGGACGTCCAGGGCAAGGAGGGTCGGCCCCACAGCCAGATAACTGGCTCGGGATTGCCGGATGGCCTCCATTTCAAGGTCCTTGGTACGAACCTGCCAAGCAAACGCAACTTGCGAGGGCCGTATTTGTCCATGACGATGCCCAGGGGCAGAGTGATGGCGCTAAGCAGGAAGGAGCCCACGGTAAAAGCCAAGTTCAGCATTTCGTCCTGGGCCTTACAGCTGAGCCAGCCATTCATCCAGCTCACCTCCTCCTGCTCTGCATCTGGTGCCTGGCCGGAGCTGTTGGTGATGTTCTCTGTAAGATTGAAAAGAGAAAACCCCCCAAATGCCACGATGACGACGAAGTGCTCAGTGCGGCACTCATTCCTCCCTGCAAATCCCGTGGAGGAGGGGCCACCCACAGGGCAGACAGGCTGGGCCAGCCTTGCTGAAACCACCAGGCACCCTGAGGCGGACCCAGGAGCAGCACGTTGACTGCCATCTCTCTCCCCTCCCACCCTTACGGGGAGGGTCCAGGACCCTGAACCCGAGACCTGGGGGAAGAGCCATGACCCTGACATGCAGCCTGGCACCTGCTCCGGCAGATGTTGGAACCCCAGGAACGAAGACCCAGAAAGGAAGCTTTGTGCCCCCGAGGTCCCCGGTGCTGTCAAATGGTTCAAGATCAGGAACTGCTATGACTTATCCGTGGACCTGACATCCAAGAAGAGGCACTGCCCCCCCCCCCCCCCCCCCACTTCGACCACAGGACTTTTCCATCTGACACTTCCATGGATGTTGGAATGGGAGCTTTCCTAAAAGCAGAGACTGTCTTCCTGTTCTTCTCATAGCCCCCACACTTAGCTCAGGCTTTGCACACGAGAAGGGCCCAACAAACGCTTTCTTCACTTCTTCTCATACTCTCGCTGCCTACCTGAGGCCACTGCAGTTCTAGCTGGCCTCCCGAGCCTTCATTCAGTGCTTCAGGGCACCTGGGTGCATCTGGACCGGCCCCAGGCCACCCCCTAATCCCAACACTCTTCAGGTGTCACTGTTGACACCTTGCCCTCTCAAAGGTGAAATTCACTTTATGATAGGCCCAGGGCAGCAAGTTTGGCCCAGAACCCGTGGAACTACCTTGAACATGTAACAGTACCCAACCTAACAGGTTTCCCAATCCCAGCTTTGCCAGAGTCCTCGGACCCCAGCACTAGACAGGACATCCCCGCCCCCCACCTCCCCAGGTCACAACACCAATGGGAGAAAGCAGGTCAGCTCAGTTCAGCCCAGCCTGGGTTAGTCCAGACCAACCCGGATTACTTCAGACCAACCTGAGGTCAAAGAGATGAGACCAACCCTGGACAAATACCTAAGTCGAAAGGCCCTTATCTCACTGCCTCACTGTAGGATGGGGCACATACCAAGGTCAATGACCCACCCCAAAATAATGCCCAGATCAGTGCCACAAGGTCAGGCTTTGGATCGACTTTGGGGAATTCTGGCCATTACTGCTCCAACCCAACTCAATAAATGCAGAAAGCAAAGGCCCAGCTGCCTCAGAGGTGAAAAGGTAGGGGAGGGAGGGGGTGGAAGGGGAAGGGAGGGTGGAGAAGCAGGGGTGGGGGGAGGGGGGGTTTCTCCCTGCAGCCCACATTCTTAAAAGAGAGAGTAGTTTATCAAAGGGCCAGTCTACCCTCCCCAGCCCACGTCTGGCTGACTCTGACCTGGGGGCACACTTGGCTGCCAACCTCCTGGTGATTTTTTCAGCTCTGCCACGCCTCTCTTCTCTCCTTGCACATCATAACTGTGACACAACTAAAATGAGCATCTTGTGCTTTGTAGCAGAATTTCCATTTGCAAACGCCCACCCCCCCTTTTATAGAGGGGAAGGAAGTTCCTGCCTTGTGGCCTTCATTTATATTCTTTGCTCAGTTGCCTGACCGGTCCCTGTGTGGACACACCTGGTCACAGTTCATGGTACAATGGAGCTGGAGGTGCTGGCCACACCAGTGATGCAATCCCAGCCAGGGACTGCCACCTCCCAAGATCACGGGCACCAAGGCCCAGAAATAGAAGGAGGCAGGAGAGAAGGGGAGAGGCCTAAGGTGAACAGAGCAATTAGCTGAACTCCTTAACCAGAATGCTGACTGATCAGGTCAAACCAGGCCAGGCCCTCTGATTAACCTGGTGAACTGACTCTCTTTTCATCCTAAAAACTTAAACAGCAAACGGAGCAGGGCTTTCCACAGGCCTAATGACTGTCCACAAAGCTGCAGATCTTATTGTGCACGGCTGCTTTTCTTTCTAAGTCTACATGGTCAACCTGCAGCGTTCAGAGCTCTCCTGCTTGTCTGGGCGTCTCTTGGTCTTTCTTCTCTTCTCTCTAAATGGGTTTTTTTAAAGATGCTCCAATGACTCTCTTTTCCCTTTTTGCTCTTCTAACTTGCCCCTATGCCCCTGAAAGCCCACTCTCCAATCAGGAGGAGGATAGGAGGAGAGAAAAGAGAAGAAAGCCTTTGGAACACCGAGGCAGGCAGACAAAAGAGATTCCCTGCATTGGCCACGGATGTCGAATTCAGCACCTCGAGTCGTCTTCTCCGCCAGGAGGGCAGTTTCGTGCTTCCCATCTGATTTGATGGTGAGGGAAGGGCAGGAAGAGGTCTCTTAAGCTGCCTCCTTCCACTGCATCCAGGTGGGGACCAGGCATTTGAAAACTAGCGCTTCAAAAGACCCCTGCTGAGAGATGCCTGAGCAGAAGCTGCCAGCACAGAAGCAGGAGGGGAGTCTGCGCTCTGCCAACCTCTGGTTAACTAAACTATATTGGTGGGGTGCCGGGGTGGGCCTCACAGACAGCAGGCACAAGCAAGATACCGGCCTACCACAGGTCCAGCCACAATATCTGGGCCCACAGATTACATCGAATGTGTGTAAGAGATGCTAATTAACGAAGATAAGCAATTAACTAGATACAGGAGAACCAGCCCAGCCATCAGTCAGAGAAGAAAGAAAATAGGGCATGTTGTTTGAGGGAAGAGCCAGGAAGGATTTGAAACAGATTGAATTCCCAGAGCTGAAGACATCGTGCCGGCATTAAGGCTAAGGCAGAGAAACCTAAATTCTCTTCCTTTCTCTGGTTTTCCAAGAAAGAAGCTTTGTCCCAACTGGTGGCCAAACCACCTGGGCCCCACCGTTCTCTAAAATGGTCACCTCCAGTCTAGACCTGGTAAGCCATTTCAGACTCTGCCTTGGCTAACTATTCTCTAGGCCAGAGGTTCTCAAATATTTTGATTTCAGGATCCCTTTACATACACCCTTGAACATTATGGAGGAGCCCCCCACCTCACCCTAAGAGCTTTTGTTTACGAGGGTTATACGTAGTGATATTTTCCCTATTGGAAATTTAAATGTTTTATTATTATTATTATTTTTTTTTTTTTGGTGAGGCAATCGGGGTTAAGTGACCTGCCCAAGGTCACACAGCTAGTACGTGTCAAGTGTTTGGTCTGAGGCCGGATTTGAACTCAGGTCCTCCTGACTTCAGGGCTGATGCTCTATCCACTGCGCCACCTAGCTGCCCCTTTATTTAGTTTAAAAATAGTTTTTAAAAAAAATAGTTTTGACATTACAGATCCCTTGAAAGGGTCTTGGGGAACCCCAAGGGTACCCAGACCACACTCTTTCACAGGACACCTTCTAGACGTTTTTAAATGCATAAAATAAAATACACAGGGTTACAAAGGCAACCAATTATGTTGAAATGGTTATAAAATTAAAAATCAAAAACAATTCAGCGACCCCCCTGAAATCTATCCACAGACCTCAGGATAAGAACTCCTCTAATCTATTATGACAGAATTTTTTTTTTTTTTTTAAAGACAGAGCTCTTCCTGTGTGCCAAGACAGCCCTGCCGGCACCGAGAGGAAGAAAACAGGCCCTGCTTTTAGGCCCTGTGCTGACAAGGTCTCTGTACAGCGTGGATCTGCCAGGTTAGCTGGTGAAAAGAGCAGAGGTCTAGGCAACAGGAGACAGAGGAGCCACGCGGCCCACTAGAGGCCTCTGAGGCCCCTGCCAGCCCTGGGGCCAGTGTCTCAGGAGCCTCAGAAGGAGCCTAAGCCTTAGGAACATTCTCCCCGTATCTAGTAGAAACTGGCCTCCCAGCCAGTCCCACTCATTGCTCCTGGGAGGGCAAGCAGAGGGAGGCAAAGAGCCTTCCTCACCCCTCTCTTTAACATGTGAGCAAGGCTATCTGGGCCCCTCCTCAGCTTCCTTTCTCTTATTCCTAACCAGGACGGCTCTCTGGGCTAGAGGAGAGGAAGATCTTAGGATAAGCAGGTGATGTGAAAACAAGAGACATCAATAACATTTATTTACTAAACAGGGAAGGAGGGTGAAGGGTGGGGGGTAGGGGGGACGGTGGACTAATTTCTGGCCATAGACAAATGCTGTCTTTTGTCATTTACTCCCAGTGTGACCTTGGGCAGATCCTGAACCCCTGGGAGGCCTTGGATGTTTCCTTAGATGGCCTGGAAGGCTCCTTCCTGCTCAAGTCTAGAATGTCTTGAAGGTCCCTCCCAGTTAACACAAGCTATGGTTTGTGATCTCTCCATCTCTGTCTCTCTCCCCCTCCCTCCCTCCCTCCCTCCTTCTCTCTCTCTCTCCCCCTCCCCCCTTCCCCCCTTCCTCCCTCCCTCTCCTCCTCTTCCCCTCTATCCGACTCCTCTCTCCCCACCCCACCCCAAAGTGGCAGGACCATGAGAAGAGATGGGCAAAGAAGGCCGAGAAGCCCACCTCTCCTTCCTGGTCAGACTGGGGCTGGCTTGCTGGATGCTGGAGTACTCCAGACAGCATCCTAGGACAATGTAGTTTTTCAACAGACTCTGCTGCTCTAACCAGGTGGTGGGTGATGAGGAAGGGGGGAGAACCAGGGGTGCCAATCTGGGTAGAGGGAGGAGTGGTACCGGGGTGGGCTGCCCCTTCCCCTTCTCAGACAGGTACAATAGTACTTGTCAAGATATGGCCCCTGGCTGGGGAGGGGCACTGGCAGGGGGAGGCTCCCAGACGAGGGAGGCCAATCTGCCATAGAAGGCCCTTTAGAAAGAACTGAAGGGGTCTGGCCTACAGCAGATTTAGGAGGGGATATGATGGCAGCGTTCAGGTGCTTAAGTCAACGGCGCTGCAAGAGGAAGTCGATTTTTTCTATTTGGTCTCCAAGAATGATGGATGAAGACAGATTTCTGTTCCTAACAAACAGCTCACTGCCACCTTGGACACATCACTCAATGTCCCTGAACCTAGTTCTGTAGGGGGCTTCTAAG